TCAGGAATGCCACCTTCTGTAGAGGCAGTCAGATTTTACCTGTTATATATATATATATATATATAAAGGTCGTTGCACAAAAATAGTTTTTACACAGTGACACAATAATATTTCCGCTGTCAAATGTTTAAACCGCCTGTGCACAACACAACGTGGCTCTATCGTACTAGTCTTTCAACTAATTAGATTGCCGAAGAATTACTACGTTTAAAAGCAGCCTTCACAATGTGACTGCTTCTCTAAAATCTGTGATTCTTGAAACTGACGGATAACATACGAACAGACCTAACCATAAACTATATAATAAAATTGTTTCCTTCAATTTTGATAGTTTCTTAGACAATAGGACAGTTTCTTCTCTCCGATATAAAAGCGTCAGGTTGTTCAACTGCTTCTCCATCACGTGATTTTGGTCTCTTTTTGCATTTTGCAAAATGAGGCTGCCTCCTCCTATCACTACGAGCATTACTACGAGGGTGAGAGAGAGGCAGAAGTTGCAACGTAACTCTCTCTCTCTCTCGAAAATGTTGTGTACCTAGATTAAATACTGGATAGACCAGGCTATGGCCTATGCGAAAAAATTGTTTCCATCAATTCTTATAATTTCACATTATTGCTGTTTCCGTCTATACTGTAGGTGCTAACTCTAGTTGGTCTTTTGTTTGTCTTGTGCTGTTGAAAGCCTGTTTTCCTGAGCTTCGCTATCCTATCGTCACTTCTAAATGACTAGACAGCACGGAATAAGGATTTCCTTTTACAAACCTTGCTAAAGAATCATTAGTTAGAATGGTCTAGTTAGGCTACAAATTTTAGGGTTGTGATGAAATGCAGGCCAATAAATGATTGATTTATTTTTCAAAAATTCATTCCTTTTCATGGAATTATTTTATACGCTTCTGTATCATAAGCGAACTTCTTTGAAGACGACTGTCAGATTAACTTTAACGTCACCATGTTGCCCACAAATTTCTGTCACAAAGTAAGATGGTTTTTTAGCAGCCTTAATAATGGAACTTATTGTTCATCGTCAAAGCGAAGCCAACGGATCAAATGTGAATTTCAAAACGTTTAATGAGCAACAAACAAGTCTTGGTCATAACTTATTTTCACCTAGAATTTGCAAATCCGTTGATTATATATCAGAAGTACATGAAATACGCATCAATCAATCAAATTTGTCAGCTTTAACAATCGGTGTAGCTGTTAATACAAGCTGGTCCTGCCTCAAAGTATAACAGGACAGGAACAGAGGATAACACCAATAAAATTAACATATGAAACTAGAACAGTGATTCTGAAAGTAATATAAGAATGAGCTATTCATTATTAGTTTCGGTTCCTCTAGGTGCATAAAATCCACTGGAAGACAGCAAAATCGATAGGCGATATCTTCCTGCAACGGCAATAGATATGAAAGGACTAAGAGTAATTAATTAACATGCCGTAAGTAACCGTTGTAAAAAGCAAGGAAATAAGTAATCAGATAAATGAATAAGTAAACAAGTGAATGAATAAATGAGTAAAGGACTGAGTAGAAAAAAAATGATGAAACAATGCAAATATGAACGACTATAAGAAGGCAATCATGCACATAAATAATTAAAACTACGACGTTTAGAGCATTAAATGCATTGCTCCTACAAGAGAAAAGTTCTTCAAATACTTTGCTTGAACAGCAATATTATACGCAGGTTGCAGATCCCCTTTTTGCGGCGAATATCGATTACAAGAAAACTAACAAGTAGTCATAAACTAACGGCATGTGTTTGGCAGTTTGTTTTGTAATCAAATTGTCAACAACGCCTAAATTTAAGTCCATTCGGCAAAACAATGGCTTATTGGCCAATTATGTTATTTAGAGCCAGTTTTGTTGTAGAGATGAAAAATTTAAGTTACCGTTTGTTTAATGTGTGGCAGGCAATATCCTCCCTGAGGACGAATCCGATGTAATCCAAAACGTCAGACCATGCGTGACAATGATGAAGCATGATGACACAGTACCTAAGAAGTGAGCCTTGAACTCTGGAAGTGCAGGTCTGAATATGCTTAAGGGGCGGTCTTTGTCTTAATCGTAATGTCTCTTGAGCAAAAAATTAACCTAACGTTGTTTCAGCGCAACCAGCTGAAGAACGGGTAGTACCTTCTGGTATACCAGAATGGAGGAAGTGTATGGCCATGATGCCCAGTGAGCTCGCCGCTAAAAGATCAACCTCGCCTTAACTCACGTGACGTATGAGTATCCAGAGTAAAAATCAGCACAAGCTATAACACTGACACGAAGAAGGCCACCATAAGGCGATTTCATGAATTTGCCAGTATGTGGACTGTACTACGGATTCACCAGCGAATTGCCGGTTTTCGATTCCGCCGGTAAGCATAACAGTCACGTGTCAATTCTCTAGATTTACACATGGTCGCACTACCC